GAGAAGGCTGAGGGGGGATCTAGTGGCCTGTTACAAACTAGTCAGAGGGGACCAGCAGGCATTGGGGGAGTCCTTGTTCCCCTGAGCACTACCAGGAGTGACCAGAAATAACGGTCACAAGCTGGCAGAGGGTAAACTCAGATTAGACATCAGGAGGCACTACTTCACTGTCAGGGTGGCTAGAATCTGGAACCAACTTCCAAGCGAAGTGGTGCTGGCTCCTACCCTGGGGGTCTTTAAGACAAGGCTAGACAATCACCACGCTGGGGTCGTTTGACCCCAGTACTCTTTCCTGCCATGGCAGGGGGTCGGACTTGATGATCTGCTCAGGTCCCTTCCGACCCTACTAACTATGAAACTATGAAACTTGCAAGGTACTATGAAACTTTCTGTAGTACCTGCCTCCATGGATTAGGGTGATTAAAAGGCCTTTGCTCTTTCCTCACACTTCTTGCTCTTCCAAGCTCATTTTGTTATGAGGCTATTTTACAGGAAACTGTGGCTCACCTTGCTGAGACTTTCTTGCTGGTACAGCATCCTGTGGCTGTTTCTACAGAGAGGGAATTATCATGGTTACTGATACTGGGTCACCCTAGTCATCCTTTCTATTAAATGAAAAGGATCTTCTCCTTTCAGTCCTTCTTATAAGTCCTGAAAGGCACAATTAAGAAACATGAGCTTTACCATTAACTTAGCTGAGTGTAGGAACAAGTCAGTAATATGTAAATGACCTTACACCCACCTGCAAGTTTAAATAAATTAATTTCTTCTACTGTTTCTCATTTTGAGATTCTCATTGCAGCTAGTTTTCAAAATACTTTTCTGATTTTTTGCTTCTGCTTCTGATCAAGTGGAATAGCTCAGCCTCTCATTTTCTGTGCCTTGAAACTGACATGTCAAAAGTTTATTTTAAAGCTTCCTGTATTTTGTACAAACTACATAGACTATTTCCTTGCCTTTCAACTCAATCTCTTCCTATATTCTTATATGCCAAAACTATGATTTTCTTTAAAGGTTCACATCAATCACATTGGCCTTTGTGTTTATGGGTGTTTATGTATTATATATGGTTGTGTGTACACTGGAAGGTTCAAGGAGAAACAGAAGAGAAAGAGGGAAGTTTTAAATGTAGTAACTCTGACAACTTCTCAATTTTTCCTTCTACCAACACCCTTACCCTGTAATCCTTACACTGTAGTCACCATCCTTACAGCGAAGAACTCTCTTTACAATCAACCTGTACTCCACCTCAATTCCCACCTGTGGACTGCTGAGTCCAAGAACTCAGTCCACAGTGAGTCAATACAGTGCACCTGACTGTATTCTCAACCAGTGCAAACAAGACTAGAAATCTTAGTTTGGTCTCCTGGTTGAAAGCTTTTCTTAAAAATCTACCAACTCTATATACTGCCTAATAAAAAAAGTGGCAAATATGGATTGTGGTACAAAAATATGTATAACAAACTAGGTATCTTCCAAGATAAAAAATCATTTATATCTTTACCAGACTTAAGTCTCTAATTTTACATGATAGGCCATGCCAGAACTTCTAAGTATAAGTTAAATGTTATTTTGCAAGTAAAAGTATTTCCCTGTACACTAACATACTCCAAAATACACTTAATACTTAGCCCAATATACACATATAAAGAATCTTATTATTATTTCTTTAAAATGTTTATCTAAAACAGCTGTTATGGTATAAAAAAAATAACATTTTTGCTTTTCCACGTAGAAAACATTTTAAACAAAGGAAATGAGAGGGACTAGTATAACCCTTTCTATAATTAATTAAAATATTTTGAAATGAACAATGACATAAGACATACCAGAAAATAGCAACTCCGAACAGCAGTAGAGAATGTGAAGTAAATCAGTCCTAAAATGCATACTTAAAATTTCTTTTACATTCACAACTTAGTTTTGCTTTCCAAAAAATATTTTATCCCTTCCACTTGGAGGAAGTGAATAATGGGAACATCAATTTTAAATACCTTAAAATTTGCATTTGTTCTCAGGATGAATATGTTTTTGTTTTGATCACTACCTATAAGGTACAAGTTTACATAGGAATTGCATTTATAAAATTCTGATATTTCTTCAGGGCTCAGAGTATAAAATTTATTATTTTCAAGATGGCCAAATGAAAACTGGCAAATGGGAAATAGGTTGCCGTCATTATGAACCATGGTAATTTTCAATCAAGTCCTTGTATTGTATTCACAGCATACAATAAATCCATGTACTTTCTCTTCCGCTTAGGTTCTCAGAGGTCAATGAGTTTTATAATTATCTCCAAACAAATTTCTCCACAGTCATTTAAGCTCTCTCTAAATAGCTGGGTGTGTTGCCATGCAATATCACCATCCCCTCCACTTAGTTCAGCTTCCAAAATAATTTCTGTTGTACCAGAGAAATCTGAATATGAACGAAGACTTTTATCTGTTGAAAAAAATACAAGTAAAGTTCTGCTGCAAATAACTTGCACAAACATTCAAAACGCTTTCTCTTATGAACATTTATTAGCCTAACTAACAGCTTATCAAATATACTTAGTAATTCAAAGGATGTATTAAGTCCACTTCAAATTATTATTTGTATTTTGACAGTGTCCTCTAGAGGATGCAGTCAGGACTGGGGCTGCATACAAACACATTGGAGGGTCCCTGTCACAAACAGGACATACACCTTGCGAATTCTTTGGGTTTTGATGATTCCTAATTTTAGGCCTTCCTTGTCCACCACCAAAACTAGGCAGAAAAATCACAATTTATTTAGTCATTGATTTATTTAGTCATTTATATAGTAGTAATCCTTTGTACATAACGGCTTTTCATCAACAGATCAAAAATTTATGATTTATGCTATACTGTATTTACCTGAATCCAAGATGGCTTTGAATTTAGGATGACCCTCTCCAATTAGATTCTATACACAGAAAATGTATATATTCAAATATTATAAAAATCTTAGTCTGTTCATAATGTTTTATTTGCACTCTGATTGGATGTCTCAGCAGCCAATCAGTGTGCTCCAAGAGTGTTCCAGACATCAGGTGGTGAAGCGCTGCCATGACAGTGGGCACAGAGGGGATGGCAGGGGGGTGGAGACAGGCCAGTACAGCTCTGCCCTGCTCTGTGGAGGAGGCGACGGTGGGGCAGATGCAGGCCTCTGTCCCTGTCTCCCGGCAGGCGGCAGCAATGGACTGGAGGGGGGCTGGGGCCAGCACCGCTGGCTCTGCCCCCCCGCTCCCTGCAGGCCACGAATATGAAACAGATGGGGGAGTGGGGGAAGCTAGCAACACCCCCGTCCCTGCAGGTGGCGGTGACGGAGCAGACAGAGAGGTATGTGGGACCAGTGGACAGAGGAGGGGCTGGCCGAGCCCTGGCCCCGAAATGGCAGGAGGGGGAGAGGGGGAGCGGGCCTGGCCCCAAAGGTGGGGGGTTGGGGTCATACAGGCCTCTGTCCCTGGCCACCCCCCAGGCCCTGCCCGTTGTTCTTGACAGGCAATTGGCTAGTTTTGTTATAATGTTCCATGCATAGAATCTAATTATTGGAGGATTGTCTTAAATTTGTTCTCCCCACACCACTGTGGCGGGAAGGCAGGTGGGAGGGGAGGCTGTAGGTGGAGGAGTCAAGTGGACTCCACACCACTTACCCCACCTGCAGTGCCTGAGCCCTTTGGTTCCTACTGCTTCTCTCCTGCAGTGCCTGTGCTCCCCTCCATTGTACCTTGCCTTGCCACTTCCCTCCTACTGCCTGGACTCCCCCTACCACAGAACATATGGTGACTTTGGTCCCTATCCAGCTAGGCAGCAGTGGTTGGGACAGTGATGGCCTTGGGCCCAGCCAGAGCTGGGGACAGAGCTGCCACCACTACTGCTTGGATGGGTGGTGCCTGGAGCCACTATGGCTGCTTGCAGACATTAAAAAGAAAACAAAATGGTGCTTTATTTAAAACCCAGCGTGAACCTGCACCCAACATATGCCCAGAAGAGGCAATGTGTGAGTTGGACCTGACTCACCCAACATCTGTATAGATTGGGCACTTTAGTGAGACCTTTTTGGGTGCTTTTTATCTAGTACCCAATCAACTCAGTTTTAGAAAGAAGTGCCAAAGAGCCCCACTAAAGCACCTGATTTATACAGACACTGTGGAGCTGAGTCAAAGCAACATGTTGCTTCTTCTGATAAAGTGCTTTTTTTAAAGTCTGCAGGCAGCATATGTACTCTGTGCCTTGGGACACAGCAGGGCCAGAGCTAGAGCTGTGACAGAGGGTATGCAGTGGTGGGGGAGCATGCTCCAACCCTTAGCCCTGGTTGGGGCTGAAGCTGCAGCAGCCACCTGCCCCTGCCCCACCATGAACTGGACTTTTGTCCCATGTTGAAAAAATGCTAATCATGGACTACAGTATTACCTTCCTATTTTTTGTAATCCATTGTAGAAAGATTGTTGGAAAAACTTCAAGTGCACTGGCATTTTAATCTTCTTTAACATTCACATTCTAGAGCACATATAGCACACAGTTAAGGAAAAAAAGACTAAAAAGTGTCACACTTGCCTCCAATAAGATCAATTTCTGCTGTGGGAGAGTACAGTTTCCATCTTATTCTTCCACTCTGAAATGTCTTACTGCTTGTCCTAACTGAAATATTGTCTATTTTTAGACCAACTGACCCACACTCAAACTTCCAGCAGATGTAAGCAGAAGATGACCCTTCTTTTCGGGCTAAATAAACCTAAATGGAAAGAGAACATGGTTAAGATACTGAAATGTGGATGCACAGCTTTCATCGAATTAAGGGCCATCCACTGTAGAAGCACACTAAATTTCAAGTACTGTAAAATAATAAAGTCACTAAAAATAATTCTCTACATAGTAAAACTTTGTATAGAGCATCACTCTAATTCTTAACTGATGTCTATACAGTGGTATTGGGTAATTGTCCATTTTTAATAAGTTTTACTTTATCCTGTACTGTTTCATGTACTATGTAGACTTTTAGCCATAAGTACCTTGGGCTCAGACTATTAAATTCTCCTACTCTTTAAGTATTTAGGATACTACAGTGATCCTCAGTGATACTGATTTTCAGTGCCATGTTAAATACACGAGGTGGGGGGAGTGATGGGGGACAGACCTCATCTTAGAACTAAGTAAATACAGTACTTGGAGAAAGGGATAAGGCTGCAAGACTGAGAATTTGCATATTGTTCTTTTTGGCTCGCTCATCCAGTTTGCTCAGCATTTATTCAGTACACCTGAAAACTAGAGCCTATACCTTGATCATGGATCTGGGTTTTCTATTTCCTATGGGGAAAAAGCCACAGATTTCCCCTTTTAACTGAGAAAAATGCAGGGTTTTCATTTTAACAGAGAAATGTGGATTTTCCACTTTTGCAAAGAGCTCTCTGCAGACTGGCAGAGTTCCACCCTGCAAGGGGCTGGCGGGGGTGAAAGAAGGGCAGTCAGGCAGAGGGCATCATGTGCATGTCTGCTTGTACATGCACATGGCCACCAGGCAACCTGGAGAGCAGCTCCCACAGGTAAGTCTAGTCGGGGGTGAGCAGGGGGAACTGAGGCTTTCATAGGGATGGAGGGAGGGATGGAGGGAGTGGGGCAGAGCTGGGGCTACTGCCCAGCTCGGGAGGTATATGGGACTTGGGGCCTGGTGCTGGAACATGGGGCCACAGGATCCCAGTGAGGAGCAGGATGGAGAGGGGTAGGGCTGGCTCCCCACTGCTGTGCACACTCCCAGGGAAGCCAGGGGGGACATGTGCCCCCCAGATCTGTGTGCAGTGTGGGGGTGGGCTGCTTGCTGCCAGCTTGGGCTTCCCGCCCTGCTGCCTTTCCCCCAGGACCTCTGCAGCCCAGCGGGTGGGACCTGGTGCAGCAGGGCAGAGTGGGGCTAGGCAGGGAAGCTCCTTGCTGCTGCAAGCCCTGCGCTACCCTAGCAAAATGCCCTGTGCCCCATGCTTGCCTGATAGCAGGGGCAGTGGCGTGGAGTTGGGGTCTGGCTGTGCTGCCTGTGGGGGAGGGAGAGCCAGGCTCCACGCTCGATACCACTGCAGCAGCTGTTGCCTCCCACATGTGGCAGCCAGGACTCGGGTGTTGCTGCAGGGGGCAGGGGGATGCAGACCTGGGTCCCTGGCCCCATAGCCCTGGCAGCTAGGGACCCTCTCTGGCAGGACTGGGGGGGCCAGGGTGGGCTGTGGGGGCTGTGAATGGGGAGTGAGAGGCCTGGACCTGCATCCTGGTGAGCCAAGGGGGCAGGGGGAGCTGTGATTTTCCATGATAAAACACTCATAATTAAATGCCAAAATGTATAGGTATTTAGAATTTACTTTATTATAGTGATTGAGGCACTAGTAGGCTTCCAAATTGCCTTAACATTGTAAATATATTAATAAAGCATTGTTCAGTTGATACCTACATATATAGTGGTATTTCATATTAATCATGGATTTGGGTGTTTTTTTAAATAAGAGATTTTTTGGTTTTTAAACGGAGAAAACCAGGATCCCTAATGCTGACATTACAAGGGTTCTTTACTATATCTAAGGCATGAGGTCTTTAAAACAAAAGCACTGTCAACCTCTTAACTCTAGCAGCTCTAACCAACAAGTCAATATTATAAACATTATAGATTTAAGGGGCAAAATCTTTATCCACTATCAAGAATATTCAGTTACGAAAACCCCTAATGGAATTACTAGCAAATTCCTGCTGATGAATGAAAGAGAATCAAGATCAAGCAACTGGATTAAGATCTGGTTAAATGGTCAATGATAACTTCTTTATTTTTAAATTTGGAAAGAAGAATTCTGAATAAAATGATAAAAACAATAATATATTTTATCAAAGAGCATATCGTCATATGGAGACTGTATCCAAGGACTATGAGATACCATATGAATACTTCTTATTCACTTAAAAAGGTTAGTTTTGATTCTGAAGTTAGATAAGCAAATAGAGTTGAAAAACTGCAAAAGGTACTGAAATAGGATTGTGAAGAATACTCTGATGAAAAAAATGTATTAATTTAATTAACTTTTTATAAATATGTGATTTTAATGTTGTGACAGTGACCCTGATATTCTGCAAATTTTCAAAGCACCACAGTTAATTCCAGCAAGGGATTTCTTCTGACCAGAAGTTACTGAATTGTCCTTTACCAGAACCAAATTGAGCTCATTAAAACTAAGCATTTAAGAATAAAATGCTCCATCCAGAAGTTAAAAAAAAAAACTTAACACTGACATACACCATATACCTTTCATATTTATAGGTCAGTCTAGTTACGAAGGTAAGATCTAGATCTTTTCTCAGAAGTCTTGCTGGACAAAGTCAACTGTTCAGTTTTGGGCTCAGTGCAAACAGTCTAAAACTAAATAATATAGCATGAATTTACACACTGGAACAAAGCATGGAGTCTTGAAATCACTTCTACCATATACAAGCTCTCTCAGAATAAATGCAGAAGTATCCTCTTGGTACCTTTCTGACTTGGATTTCAGATTTGACTAGTTAGGCACTGGCTTCAAGCATATATTTTATATGTATTTAGTTATGCACATATTTTCTTAAGTGATGTGTGTTACTGAAGAGACTGCAAGCAGTCTGATTGAAGAAATGGTGAGCAGTTTGATTCTAGAAGATAAAATCCAGCTTAAGTATCTCGTGAGAGGCTCCTTTGAAATAAAAAGGCTACAAGGTTGTAAAAATCTGAACCACTACCCTAACGGTAACTAACATTGTAAGCTCATAACATAACAACCCAGGATGGGTTCTTATACTGACCTTTATATTCTGCTTCTGTTGCAGACAATTTCTGGGGAATCTGTCATATTAAATTCTTGGTTTTAGCAATTGGCAAGGTCTGGTTCCACAAAGTCTTATTTCAACATGTTTGTTTAGAGCACTGAAGCACATAAATAAGGTAAAGATTACTGCTCAGAGGGGAATTAGTAAATCCATGTTACTTGCATTAGGTTGTGCTGCAATTTTATTTCTTCTTTACAGTTTATGAGCTTATAGTGATAGTTACCTTTAGGGTAATGGTTTACAGTATCTTTTCCTTCCTGCTAAAGGAGAAACTGATTCTTTTTTCATGAATGCTTTTTCAGCTAAAATGTTTCTTGGAGAGCTGTTCAGTTTGAACTCACCTTGTTCAGTTGTACAGCTACCTGCTAAAATTAAACAGTCTTCCTTTTAGAAATAAGCAAGAGTGCATTTGTGGAGAACTAACACATCTTGGTTACAAGTTTGAGAGAGACATGGATTTGTTTAGCCTTCCAGTCCTGCTGTTGATTTCTTTCGTCCTCAGCCCTAATCCTCCAGCACCACAAAAGACCTGTTTTACTGCATGTGAACTGCACGTTTTCCTGCTTGGTGCAGGGGGCTGGACCTGATGATCTTCCGAGGTCCCTTCCAGCTTTACAATGTATGAATCTACAAACTCTTTGTGATCAGTCACTTGGATTACTTCTCCATCTTCCATTTGATCTACGCAGCTGGAGTAGTAAGCTGCACAGAACAGTAGGTATACGGCCTCACACAACGCACTCCTCCAATCAGCAGCTGGATTCTTCAATATGGTCATATATTTCTGATCTGAAGCTATTAAGTGCCGCTACATTGTTAGACGGACCTGGAGAGGCTGGAGAACAGCTATCACTCTGTTCAATTGCTTCTGTTTCTCTACTCCTCTTTCCTTGCTGCTCCACTTTGTTGTATATTTTTACCTCAGCCTCTAATATGGCATACCCCTCTTCAGACTTGACAGCTCGTACTAATAATGCTGTTTGTATACAGATGTCCCCCTTCTCTAGCTCCAGTTCCTCACTTCTGCAATTTGGAGTATATGATCATCAGGGATCTGGGTTTTCCATTTGCTACAGACAAACGTGATAAAACCTAGACTTTCTCTCTTCTCATCCAGAAAAACCTAGATTTTTTTTTAAAGGAGAAAAATGTGGGAAATGGTAGGCCTCCCCTTACAGGCTGGCAGAGTTCCAGCCTGCAAGGAGCTGGGGGGCAGGAGAAGGGCGATCATCAGGAGAGGCCATTTGTATGTGTGCACATGGCTGTCCCACAGCCTGGACAGCAGCTACTGCAGGTAAATCTGGCAGTGGTGGTGGGGAGCGGGGGGCAATTGAGGACCCCATACTGAGGGAGTTGGGCAGGGCTGGGGCTGCTGCCTAGCTGGGGTGGTACGGGAGGCTTGGGGCCCGTGGCCAGAATGTGTGGCCGCAGTGCCTGGTTGGGGAGTGACAGAGCCGTGGGCAGCTTGTTCAGGAGGTGATGGGGGGCTGCTTCCCTGCTGCTGCATGCACTGGGGGAGGGGCCTGTGCCCCCCAGACTTGTGCACAGGGTGGCAGCACCAGCAGGGGTGGGGGGGGGCGGTGGGTTGGGAGTGAGGGGCAATGGCATGGGCAGGGGACTGGTATATGAGGGTTGCTCAGTGCCACAAAGCAGTGTAGGGGGACAGCTGGAGCTGGACCTGCATCCTGGTGAGCAAAGGGGATGGGGGAGCTATGATTTTCCATAATAAAAAAATGCAAAATCAAATGCTAAAAATGTATAGATATTTAGAATTTATTTTATTATAGTGATTGAGGCACTGCTAGGTTTCCAAATTGCTTTAAAATAGTAAATATATCAATAAAATATTGTGTTCAGCTGATACCTAGAGAGTGATGTTCCGTTTTAATCACGGAAAAAACATGGATTTGGGGGTTTTTAATCAGAGAATTTGCAGTTTTTAAACCGAGAAAACCAGGATCCTTGATGATCATCCTGCTGCCCAGAGTCTTGACAGATAGGAAAGCGTTGGCAGAGTCTTCAATAATCTGGATAACTAACCATTTTTTACCTTCTTGCAAGTACCACTGTAATGCTTAGGATATTTTTTTCCTTTGGCCATGCAACAAAGTGATATGATATGCTACAAAGCTACTTCTACACTGCAAAAGAAATAATTTAAACTATTTTACTATACATAGTATTTGATGCGTCTAGACATATGTGGGGAAAGTAGGTCTTTAAATAGTGTTCCAGCAGGGGTTCTGGTTATCTGCAGAGGAATCAGTCATCCCATTTTGAAAGGCAAGCTGACTTATATCCAGTTTCTCATTAGTTAATCTTATCTGAAGCTAGACAGTAACACTTAACAACTTCAATGGAGTCCTTAAGCATCCACAGAGGTTTTGATGCAAAATACAATCAGTGATTTTAGACTTCACTGGGACTATTATGTTAATAAAATAAATTACTGTGAAATTTTTAAATTATTGTTGTAGTTACCATTTTCCAGTCTGTTTCAACCTTTCTCCATAAAGACTCCACCTTCCACACACCTTTCTCCCAACCATTGATTTTTTCATTGTTATTGGAAACTCGGGTATAGTTGTCGTCCACTACATTGTAGCAGAGATGAAAGAACTTAGAGGTCTTCTCATTTCCAGAGGGAATAAAAACAGTGTCTCCTCCCTTCTGAAAAGAAACAAACACTATAGATTAGACTTTTTTTTCCCCAAATAATTAAAGGAGATCATGTAAATTTTAGTTTGGCTTTTTGTGAAAATATAAATATTTGGAAAATTATATCAGATAACATATGCCACTATGGTCTTACCTAATTATCATCAGTATAACAAGAAACCTTCATTAAAAACTACACTGTCACTGAATAAAGAGAATGAATTGTTTTGAAAGATGCCAGTGAAAAAAAATATCCTCAATTTAGGATTTTTTTTTTATTGTTTTGCTAGAATGAACATACACTTTCCTTACAGAGAGGGGCAATAATTTATTTAAAAATATTTAGTACCATTAGTCTTTCCAAAAGTAATTATTTCACAGAAGAGCAGAAAGAAGCACATTTAACAGACTAATGAAAAGAAAATTATTGAAATTGAGGAAATAAAAAAGATGGCCTTTCAAAATGAGTAAGAATTAATGAGTAAGAATTCAATAACTGTACAGTATTCAAGGATAAATGTATCTTACTATATATTAGAGCCCCTCTACACATGCAGGTAAAGGTGAAATTGAATCTAATGACTGAATGATTCAACTGTATCTCTTGCCATGCCATACGTGAATGGCAGAAGGTGTGATTGTGGGATTACATACCAGATGTAATCTTGCCTTATTGCTGGTGTATGGGGAGCCTGATCCCCTGGGCTCCCCCTACATCGGCAAGAAACAGGTTCCTAAGGCTGGGGGGCCCCTTTGCTGAGGGAGTTCCCAGCTGTGAGGGCCAGGCGCAGCTGGGTCCAAAAGTCCCTGTTACTGACAGGGTTCCCAGTCCTGGCTGCACATGGGGGGCCCTGTGTGGGTCCAGGGGTTTCATGTACCCCCAAGCCTTGGGGAATCACAGCAGCTGCAATCCCTGGGGTTTGGGGGTTTCATGCTGAACATGGAGCACCTCTGCACCTGGGAACA